TATTTAACAGTCCGCATTTAATTCTCCTGTTTTGTCTTTCTGTCACAGAAGAGGTTTTAATTTTTATGAGGTTGTTATGCACAACTCCTCTTTGTTTAATTTTAGATTTAAATAATTTAGGTGGTCGGGGGACAGACACCGTTTGTATAAAACTATGAAAACTATGGCTGGGTAACTGAACTAGAAGCTCAGAGAGGCGTTTAGGACTGCAACTCTCTGTCCTGGTCTCAACTCTGGGTTGTCAGGGATTTAAATTACTAATAAAATTTGCCAGGTTCCTAGAAATGAGAGCAGCTCCATCCAAAGTGGGATGAATGCCGTCTCTCCTAATAAGACCAGGTTTTCCCCAGAAAGTTTGCCAATTATTAACAAAACCCACATCGTTTGCTGGACACCACCTGGACAGCCAGCGATTAAATGATGACATGCGGCTAAACATGTCATCACTGGTCAGATTTGGGAGGGGTCCAGAGAAAACCACGGAGTCCGACATCGTTTTTGCATATCCACACACCGAGGCAATATTAATTTTAGTGACCGCCGATTGGCGTAACCGGGTGTCATTGCTGCCGACGTGAATAACAATCTTACTGAATCTACGTTTAGCTTTAGCCAGCAGTTTTAAATTTGATTCAATGTCGCCCGCTCTGGCCCCAGGGATACATTTGACTATGGTTTTCCATGGTGCGGAGCCGCGCTTCTAATTCACTAAGCCTCGCCTCCAACGCAGCAAATAAGCTACACTTACTACAATTACCACTGTCGCTAAAGGAGGCAGAGGCATAACTGAACATTTGGCACACCGAGCAAGAAAGAGCAGAGGTAGAAGCCATCGCTAACTGTAAAGCTAATGTAGCTACCAAGGCTAGTAACATGCAAACAACAGCTAAGAGATTAGTGAGAAAGTCGTAGAAAGGAGGAGAGGTATAAGTGCTTAAACAGAACCAGTGTGGTTTAAGACTTGAAGTAGACGTTAAAGCAAAGTTAAAGCAACTGAAGCGAGAAAGCAGGCTAGTAGAATTCACCAGAGCAGTACAGAGACGCTGTCACAGAAACACCAGAAATGACACAACTCGCTTACCGCAGGTGACTGTTCTGATCTGACAGTCCGTTAGTATACTTCCATGTATGTACTAATTGGCGTAGTGCGCAAATTTCAACAGGGTAGTGTTGTCTCAAACCAAACACAGCCATTGTGCACTCACCGGAATTGACGACCGCAAATTAGCTATTTAGCAAACTAGCATTAGCATTTGCGTTATTGTTCGCAGTACCAAATCATTACAGACTGCTAAATTAACCCAACAGTCATACTGCTGGCTTATACCTGACAACAATATAGTTGTGCTTAGTGCAAAAAACACATGAATTTGAACAATGCAGCGACGTTCATGGTCGCACAGTCCTCGGCCGCTATTTCCAGTTTGGAAAGTGGTCCCTCCCCTTCTGCTACGTAGCCAAGATGGCAACCATTGGGTGTGAGAAGTGTCCATAGTTCCACACTTAACTTTTTGACCGTTTTGAGTGCATCATCTGGGTACTCATCGTGTACTGCATTTTTCCATACTTCTCAGTGTGAACGCACTTATGCACTCAAAATAGTAAGTGTAAGTACAGAAGTACGCAATTTGAGATACAGCAAAAATCCCCATCGGACTAAACCTCCTATCAAAACAGGTCATCTTATTTAGCACCAACTCCTCTGATCCCTGCTCACAGTCCTCTCCTTCAGATTAGGTTGCATCACTTCTGCACTTTGATCAACTTCAACATTTCATACCTTTCAAGACGCTCCATCACACAATCCATCAGGAACTCTGGGATATTTTTATCCTTGGACATCTCAGCAGCATGATGATGAGGATGACGATAATGAAGAAGGAGATGATGATGATGATGATGATGATGATGATGAGAAATCAAACAGCGTAGATGACCTAATCCTGCTTCAGTTTGTTTCAAGTTCATCTCAGGTGATTCCAAACTTAAATAGAAGACACAGGGGGACTTTCATCAGTTCAACAGGAGACCAACAGCTTTACTGATTTCACACAAACTCAGACTGAAAATGACACAAGCCAAATCACCAAGAATATCAGTAAAAATATTTAAAAACAACAGAAAAGACAAAGTTAAAGAAAATGCTGCTCCTCCCCCCATGATAGCTAGCAATGCTTGTCTATCTTTTTAGGGGCCCTTTGACAAAATCTTGTTTTCCCCTCTATCACTCATGAATAGGTTACAAACCAAATTTGCGTCATATATCTGCATATATATCAGATCAGTGTTTCTCCTACCATTATACCATTAAACGAACTGAAGTGGGCCAACCTGAGAAACATTTTGATTTGTTACCCCTTTTCAATTCATTAATCCTCATCAAAAGGGTTAGGATTATTAATTATTTTAAAAAAACTTCTTCAGCAAGTGCTGTTTTTTCATTTTGCACTGCCTTGCACTCCCAGAATATATTCAAATGGAAAGTAACTTGAAAGTAACTTTTTTCTTTTTTTTTTACTTTTACGAGTAGGTTTCTCAAATGGTAATTTTCACTTTTACTCGAGTCATTTTTTGTGAGAGTAAATATACTTCTACTTGAGTATAGCTGTTAAGCACTCTACCCACCACCTCCTCCTTCTCCACACATTTCATACCTTCCCAGATCCGTCGTCACGTTCTTCAACATCTCATCGATGGCAATCTGAAGCTGTAACAGCATTTTATTAAAAAAATAGATAAATATTTATACACACACACACACACACACACACACACACATATACATATATATATATATATATATATATATATATATATTTATTTTTCATTTCAGGGTGTTGAAAGAAATGATGATGATAAACTCCTCACTTAATTCTGGCATATTTCCCACAGCGTTCAAGACATCAGTGGTAAAACCTCTTCTCAAAAAATCCAATTACTCAGACAGAAACAATTACAGACTGAATTCTAATCTACCTTTTTATCGCAACATTTTAGAGTGAATTGTTTTTAATCAACTACTAGTTCATTTTAACAACAGTGGCATTTTAGAAAGGTTCCAGTCTCGTTATCAAGCAAAACACAGAACAGAGACTGCCCTTCTCAAGGTTGTAAATGCTCTGAGCATTCTTGTGGGTGCAAACAATCTGGCTGTTCTTCTGTTGGACTTAAGTGCAGCATTTGATACTACTATTTTAATAGACAGACTTAAAAAATGGGTTAGTCTTTCCTACACTGTTTTAGCTTGGTTTAGGTCCTATTTAACCGTTTTTTGTCAGCCTGGGTGCTCATGTATCAGAGACTCACAGCATTACATGTGGTATTCCTCAAGGAAGCATTATTGGACCAATCCTGTTTTTGCTTCCACTTGGAAACATTATTAGCCATCACCATATTGATTACCATTTTTATGCTGATGACACACAATTATACATCTCTGTAACACCAAATGCCCCTAATGCACTGGATGCTCTCATTGCCTGTCTCACTGACATTAAACTATGGATGGGTAAAAACTTTTTAAAGCTGAGAAAAACTGAGATTCTTTTAATTGGACCAAAAGCAGCAAGAGAAAAGCTGCACTAGCACACTGTTTGGTGGCCTTAGCAAGCACATTAAAACTGATGTTACTAACCTGGGAGTGATTTTAGACGCTAATTCAAATTTTAATTCTCATTTAAACAGGGTCATCAAAACATCCTTTTATCATCTACCGAACACTGCTAAGTCAGACCTCTTTCACCCAGAAAGATGCTGAAACACTCACTCACGCTTTTATTACCAGCTGTTAAGACTACCTTTTCACTGGACTACCCAAACAATCAATAAGAAAACTACAGCTTGTCCAGAATGCTGCAGCCAGAGTGTTGACTAAACAAGGAAAATGAATCACATTACCCCACTGCTGAAGTCACTGCATTGGCTACCTGTATCTTTTAGAATTGATTTTAAAGTCCTTTTACTTGTTTATAAAGCTTTAAATGGCCCTGTCCCTCCATACATCAGTGCTTTTCTATTATTTCATGTTCTAGCCAAATCACTGAGGTCCTCCACTGCTTTACTTTTAAATGTTCCTAATGTTAACCATAAAGGTACTGGTGAGAGCACTTCCTGTTTTTATGCCCCTAAACTGTGGAATTTGTTACCTCTGGATATTAGAAGAGCTTTGTTGGTATTTTTAAATTTAAATCAAAGACCTACCTTTTTAACCTGGCTTTTAATGTAAAGTGACATTACAGTCTTGATTTTTAAGTTTTAAACATTTGTTTTTACCTTCTTTTATCCCTCCTGTTCATTTTTTATTCTATTTTATTTATTTATTAACTCTATTGCATTTTAATTATCTTTTTTGTTAGTTTGTTCTGTTTTGGTTGGTTTCCTTTTTTAATATTTTATTGTTTTGTGTCTGTGTCATTCCAATTTTGCCATGTGAAGCACTTTGGGCTGCATGTTTGTATGAAAGGTGCTATATAAATAAAGTTGAGTTGAGTTTGGTTTGGTTGAGTTGATGATGATAAACAATTTAAATGTGTAGATTACCTTTTTCAGCTGCACCTGTGTCAAGTCCAGCTCAGGTAAATTCAAACTACAGTAGAAGACACAGGAGGAATTTCATCAGTTCAGCAGGAGACAAACAATCAAAATCCCCATCAGACAAAACCTCTGACCAGTCCAGGTCATCTTATTTAGCACTCCTCTGTTCCCTGCTCTGAGTCCTGTCCTTCGAGTGAGGCTGCATTGATTCTGACCTACAGTTCACTTTAACATCTCATACCATGCTAGGCGCTCCATTGCACGTGTCATCAGCAATTCTGTGATCATCTCATCCTCAAAAACCTCAGCCGCACCATGCTGATGATGATGATGATGATGACGATGATGATGACGAAGGTTAGGATGATGATAATGAGGAGAACTGGAACAGCGTAGACTACACTTTACTGCTCCAGTTTCTTTGGAGTCCACTTCAGGTGAATCCACACTACAGCATAAGAGACAGCAGAATTTTCATCAGTTCAACAGGAGTGACAAACAGTTGCACAGCTTTACTGACTAGAACCAAACTCAGACTGAAAATATTACAACTTAATTCAAATCATTAAAAGTACACCCATTAAAGCACAAATCCCCGATCGCAGTCACCCTAGACAATTCTCATTATTTCAGCAGACACACAGCAGTACATCTCAGAAGCTAATAAAAATAGACACTTAAAAATCAAGCTGCAGTGTGTTGCACAGAGCAGATTGAGTTCTCCTACTAACAGGCACTGTATGGAAAATATAGATAAAATATAATCATGTGAATTAATGTATTTTTAATCATTTCAACACAGCCAGAAATGATAACTAGAATTTTAATGGTATTAACTAGACTACAGCACGGCAAAATGTTAAATAACAACAATGAACACAATTAAACAGACAGAAAAAGGTAACTGTTTAGCCTACACTTAGTTACCTTTGGTAGAAACACAAATGTGTTACTTTTGGTTTACCAGACAAGTCCATCCATAAACTGCAACTGGTTCAAAGCTCTGCCGCCAGCATTATTTCCAGAACCCCCTCTTCTAGTTATATTACACCTGTCCTGCAGCAACTCCATTGGCTTCCAATCAAATCCCGCATCACTTATAAAATCCTACTTCTCACCTTCGGGTCCATGTCATTGGTTCGACAGCCCATTGGTTCGACATCCCATTAGTCCGACTGTCCGCGGTGCTGAACGGCTCGCGGCGGCCGTATGGTGCGCTGCGACCGGCTTGAGGCAGAGCAGGCTCACGGCTTATGTGTTTGTCACTTTATTTTTCATTTTAACCCACACCATGATCTTTTCCTTACCCCAAACAAGTGGTTTTTGTGCCTAAACCTAACCAGACCTTAACCACAGGGCATCATGATTTTTTTTTATTTTTTTTTTATTTAACCTTTATTTACCCAGGCAAGCAATTAAGAACAAATTCTTATTTACAAATGCAGCCTGAACCAAAGAGCAAAGGCTCTCTGGAGGGAGAGGGGATGATTTCGGAACGGACTTCGGAACAATGAGTTTAATATGGTCAGAACAATGGGCTGTCGAACCAATGGGCAGTTCCCTCACCTTCAAGGCCATCAACAACATTGCCCCTCAGTATCTTGCTGAGCTCCTTCACATTAACATACCCAGCCGTACTCTCAGGTCCTCCTCCTCCATTCAACTCACCGTCCCACCTGCTCGCTTATCCACCATGGGGTCGAGAGCCTTCAGCCGCTCGGCCCCTCGCCTCTGAAACTCTCTACCGCAGGACATAAAACACTCAGACTCTGTCACCTCCTTCAAATCCCGACTCAAAACTCACCCTTTCACCCTTAAGTGATTTCATTCTTTTGGTCACCAAAGCTCATGGCCATAGGTGAGGGTCGGAGTGTAGATGGACTGGCTCACCTCGTGCTTCATCACAATGGACAAGCATGTTAGAGACTACTCTTTTGATTCTGGGTGTATAACTCCTTCTCTAGGATAGATTACATTTTGATGTCTTCAAACTTGTTTCAACATGTCCTTGAGATCAAGATGAATGGCACTGTTGTAAGGGACCATGCTGTATACTCTGTTACATTTTTCCCATTACCCAACCCCTGAAATCTAAATGGTGGCAACGTAATACACGTATTTCTTAAAAAATGAAGAAAAACAAACAAACAAAGAAAAAAAACTCCCTCATAAGAAATTAAGTTTTGGATTATGTTTTTTTTCTACTAAATTTAAATTGTCCACAGTTTGGGAGGTATTTAAAGCTCCCTAAATGGGCTTGTTCATCAGCTTCTTCTTAGTGGAGAATAGAAAGCGTGGTGAGGTTAAATCCCAATTTAACATTAAACTCAAGAGATTAGAGGAGCAGAACATGCTGGATCCATCCAACTTGGATCTGAGGAATTCTCTCCTCACCACCAGGACAGACTTGCAAAGGCTTACACATGAGGAAGCAACATTTGCTCTTTCCTGTTTGCAGATTGTGTGTGGAAAAAGGAGATAAGGAAGGGAGGATGATAGCTCATGGATTAACAGAAATAGAAAATAGACAAATAGAAAGTAGACATCAATTGTTGAGAGTTTTAACAACAAACTCAAGTCAACGCTGGACTCAGTGGCTCCACTTTTAAGCAAAACAATTAGATTTGACTTTCTCCATCTCCTCTCAGCACTCCTGCAGTATCTTTTCAGTTGTTTGATTTCCTGATTTCTCCACGGAGTGTAGGTTTTGTTCTAACAGTCCACTACGAAATATTACGTCAACATCTCAAAACCTACAATAACGCAGTCAAACAGGCAAGAATTTCCCACTTCAAAAAACTAATCTCTGACAATAAAAACAATCCCAAATTCCTCTTCTCCACAATTGATTTTTTAACAAACAGTAACAGTAAAGCCCACAACCTGCCTTTTAGACCCAATTCCCACACCGTTTTTTAAAACATTTTATGGATTCTTTGAGGAACAGCTACTGTACACGGTGAATTGCTCTCTTCAGACAGGTGCCTTCCTGACCTCCTTGAAAACGGCGGTGGTGAAGCCCCTTCTGAAGAAGAGCAATTTAAACCCCAACATTTTTAATAATTATCAGCCTGTATCCAACTTACCATTTTTCAACAAAATTTTAGAAAAACTGTTTTTTACCCAAGTAATTGATGTTTTTAAATACAAATAACACTTTAGAGAAGTATCAGTCTGGTTTTAGGATGAACCACAATACCGAGACAGCCCTTTTAAAGATTTTAAACGACATCAGGTGCAATTTAGATCTAACCATAATCTCATAGTCTTGGTTTTACTGGATCTAACCGCTGCCTTCGATACAGTAGACCATCACATTTTATTAAATAGACTGAGGCATCTGGCTGGCCTCTCTGGTACTGTTTTTAACTGGTTCGTCTCTTACCTTACTGATCGACACTTCTTTGTAAGTATGGATGCATGTTCCTCAGGAACCCATGAGATAAAGTGTGGGGTCCCCCAGGGGTCAATTTTAGGTCCAACTCTTTTTTAATCTCTACATGCTTCCCCTGGGGGACGTCATCAGGAGGCACGGCATCAGCTTTCATAGTTATGCTGATGATACGCAACTGTACATTGCCGTGTCTCCTGATGACGCAGGGCCAATTGATGCCCTTTTTAACTGCATTTTAGATATCAAGTCATGGATGGCAGTGAATTTCCTACAGCTCAACCAGGACAAAACAGAGGTTTTAGTCATTGGTCCTGAAGGCCAGAGAGAGAAACTTTTACCAAAACTACAAGATTTTAACCCTCACAATGTGTACAGAACCTGGGTGTGATTTTTGACTCTGAGCTCTGTTTTATTCCACATATTAAAAACATAACAAAGGTAGGTTTCTACCACCTTAAGAATATAGCCAGAGACCACCTGTTTCTCTCTCAGGCCAGCACGGTGGTGCTGATGCATGCTTTTATCTCCTGTAGGTTAGATTATTGCAATGCCCTGCTCTCTGGTCTTCCCAAAAAGAGTATCTCAAATCTACAATTATTACAGAATTCAGCTGCATGAGTGCTGACGAGGACCAGAGGGCGGGAGCACATTACACCAGTTTTAAAATCACTGCATTGCCTCCCCGTGCGCTTCAGGATCAATTTTAAGGTTATTTTATTAGTTTTTAAATGTCTTAACGGTCTTGGGCCTTCTTATTTATCTGACCTGCTTTTACCATATCAACCCTCGCGGACCCTGACGTCCTCCGGCACAGGCCTTTTAACCATACCACAAGTTAGGACTAAAACACATGGGGAGGCAGCATTTAGTTGTCATGGCCCCCAATTGTGGAACAGCCTGCCAGAGAACCTCAGGGCTGCAGAGACTGTTGATGTTTTTAAAAAGAGGCTCAAGACTCATCTTTTTAATCAGGCTTATCTATTTTAAATTCCTTTTATCAGGCTTTTAACCAATTTATCTATTTGTTTTTTTTGTTTGTTTTTTTTAAATGCTCTTACCCTTCCTTTTTTTACATTCTTATCTCATTTAATCTTTATCTTTTGTTATTTTAGTTATAGGTTTTAGTTTTGATGCATTTTATGTGTCTGTTTTAGATCATTCTTACCTAGCTATTAACTTAATTTTATGAGCTAAATAGCTTTTTATTTATTTGGTTCATTTTATACCTTTTATCCTATCCTACTGTTTTAGTCCCTCAGTTTTTAGCTCCAGTGTTTCCTCATGGGGGCCTACCACACTGAGAGTTGTTCCTGGTTTACAGATGGGGGTGCCATCCCATGGACAGCTCTGACCTGGGTGGCTGAAGGGCACTGCACCTCGGTGTGGAGGCTCCTGTCTGCCCGGGTCGGGGTGGTCTCTACGGCAGCAGTGGTTGTTTTCTGTTTTGGTTCTTTGTTGTTTTTAACCTCTGTGAGGCACTTTGTGTTACTGTTGTATGAAAAGTGCCATATAAATAAAGTTGATTTGATTTGATCAATTAGCCTAGCAATTGACAGCAATTAGGGACGAGAATGGGATGTTACAATGCGATGCAGTTAGAATTGAATTTTTAACTTTTGAAACTTAACACTTTACACAATTTCTGTGTCTCTGTGTGCAGGGCCATTATCTCTTTGTTACCAAACCCAGGTAAAGACTGTTGGGACCACTGGACTCATTTTTTCTCCAAGGATAGTCAGATGAACCCCATTTCCCATAGTCTTCTGTTATTCAACCAGTTCAGCCAATCTTATTTGCCTTTGGTTACTGTGGCATGTGACCCTGTGATGTTGTCAGGTCAATCAAAGGGACTCAGCCCTTAATTTATTCCTCTTTGTCCTGGGACATCCAGCAAGAAGGATCACTGCTGCTGGAAGACCTGCCTGCCCCAGCTCACTTTTTCTCACCTTTCTGCGTGCTCACAGCAGATAAGGGTCTTGCATGCAACTTAATAAATCTTTTACTAACCCGGTACCTTTATCCCCCACTGATCACACACATATAGTACTGTAATTTGTCTTTTACACATTTCTACAAGAGGGAACCTAAAGCCTTCACTCTCAAACACTGTATTGTTCCACTGACTAATATTTAAAATGAAAGCTTTAATTACTGATAAATGAGATGTTAACCTCAAATACTGTCATTTTCTTCCCAGAAAATGGTGGAAAATACTGTGGATCGTGAGTTAAAAACATTAGTAGCTGTTAGTAATTAGTATAAGTTTTCAGTAGAAAAAGAATAACAACTGCTGTCATTAAACTAGAGTTTAATGCTATAGCATGATGGCGCCCCCAGTGCGGACGCCTGTTACAGCAGCTCCTGCTCACCGCCGAGCTTTTCTCTATTTTTTTCTTTTTAACTTTCTTACTTTGAGTTTTTTTCAGTTTAGCTAGCTAGCACTTATGTTTTGCTTTGGTATGGAGACAAAGACCGCTCTCTTTATAGCGGTCTTTCTCCCATTTTTCTATGGATATGATCGTGTGCGGGGACCCGGCGCCCAGCTGTGGCTCCATTGTTTACACCCAGGACCAGCTGTTAGTGCTATGACACACCGTGGTGTGGCCCGAGGAGAGGCATGATATTCCCCACGAGCTGCGGAGAAGGAGACGGGGATGTCACGCTGACACCGGAGGAGACGGTACAAACCCGTCCTCCCGTCCGTCGTTTTGGGGAATGTAAGGTCGCTCCCCAACAAGATGGACGAGCTGTCGGCACTGACTCGCCATCAGAGAGAGTACCGGCAGAGCAGCATGCTGGTGTTGACAGAGACATGGCTGAACGCGTAAGTACTGGACACGATTGCCACGCTGGACAGATTCCAGCTCATCAGGCATGACAGGACAGCAGACAGCGGTCAGCGGAAAGAAGAAGGGATGGCTGTGTATGTGAATGATAGATGGTTTAACTCTGGGCACATCACTATCAAGGAACAGCATTGCTGCAGGGACATTGAGCTGCTGGCTGTTGACATGAGACCATATTATCTACCCAGGGAGTTTTCTCAAGTCATCATGGTAGCAGTGTATGTCCCCCCATCTGCAAAGGCTGAGTCTGCTTGTGACATTCTCCACTCTGTTACAAGTAGGCTGCAGACACAGCACCCTCAGGCCCTCCTTCTGATCTCTGGGGACTGTGCCTGTCCATCCACCACCCTGCCCACCTTCACCCAGTATGTTTCCTGCCACACCAGAGACAATAAAACACTGGATTTATTTTATGCCAACACCAATGAGGCATACCACTCATCCCTCCTGCCCCCCCTGGGAAAAGCTGATCACAACCTGGTTCATCTTCTGTCTGTCTACAAACCTCTGGTGCAGAGGGAACCAGCAACCACCCGCACTGGGTTAGAGGTGGTCTGATGAGGCTGAGGAGGCCCTGAAAGACTGCTTCGAGACCACTGTGTGGGAGGTACTTAGCGATTCCCATGGGGAGGACATTGACAGACTGACATCATGCATTACGGATTATATTAACTTCTGTGTGGAAAACACCGTACCCACCAGGACTGTACGCTGCTTCTCCAACACCAAACCCTGGATTACTCCAGATATAAAAGCTCTCCTGAAGGAGAAGTGGACAGCTCCCCCCAACACCGATGAACATCCGGGGAAAGGACATTGAGATGGTGACATCTTATAAGTATCTGTGTGTTTATCTTATCAATAAATTGGACTGGACTAATCACATAACAGCATTTTACAGTAAAGGCCAAAGCAGACTCTACCTGCTGAGGCAGCTCAGGTCTTTTGGAGTGCAGGGGGTGCTCTTGAAGACCTTCTTTGACACTGTGGTGGCATCAGTCATCTTTTACGGAGTGGTCTGCTGGGGCAGCAGCGTCTCCGCTGCAGATAGGAAGAGACTGGACAAGCTGATCAAGAAGGCCAGCTCTGTCCTGGGATGCTCTCTGGACTCTGTGCAGGTGGTGGGAGAAAGGTGGATGACAGCCAAGCTGTCATCTCTGAGGACTAATGACTCCCACTCCTTGCAGTAGGAGATAAAAGCTCTGGAGAGCTCCTTCAGCGATAGACTGCTTCACCCAAAGTGTGTGAAGGAACACTATCGCAGGTCCTTCCTGCCTGCTGCTGTCAGACTACATAACCAGCACTGCTCACAGTAAACTGCACCATGGGCACTTTAGGGACACTATGGACACTTTATAAACACCACTATAAGCATTGCTGTCCCCCCTTGTTGTTGTTTATTTGCACATACAATATTCACTTTGCACTAAATATATTCACTTTAATCCATTTCATCACTTTTTATCTACTGCTCATTATTATTATTATTATTATGATTTATTGCTGTTTCTTGTATGTTTTGTACTTTTTTTTGCATGCCTAGTTTTTTAAGTTTTTAAATACTGAAATCTTTAATCTGACTCTTTCCCCTTGATTGCTGTAATACTGGAATTTCTCAATTGTGGGATCAATAAAGGTGTATCTTATCTCTTATCTTATTAACAGTGGCGATATGTAACTAAGTACATTTACTCAAGTACTGTACTTAGTACAGTTTTGAGTTAGGCATACTCATAACCTACTTGAGTATTTCCCTTTCACATTTCTTCTTCTACTACTCTTTCAGGAGCAAATATTGTAGTCTTTACTCCACTACCTTTATCTGACAGCTTTAGTTACTTTGAAGAATTCTATTATGTATTATTACAGCTAAAAAACAATTTGTGCAACATATAAGTAAGAACATATAGTGCAATAGTAAGATGAAAAGGGTCGACATTTCACAGTCAAAAACTCCACATCCTGAGAGCAGAACTGGGAGATCCCCTTCACATCACAGCACCATGAATTGTTTGTGTATATTTCCAGAGCGCGACCACGGAGCTTACCAGATGATGAAGCCTCCCTGTCTGCTCGATGTAGTGTTAGCCCTGTTAGCTCAACACCGGAGTCTGATATGTAGCCATTCATCCATGTCTCAGTGAACACGTGAACACAAGGACGCAGCAGTCCCTCACTCCTCGGTGAGTGGATCTCCACAGTCGGATGTAATCCATTTTCGTGTCCAGCGAGCGGACGTCCGCCAGAAGGATGCTGGTAACAGCTGGTTTGATGGGGTTAGTTCTTAGCCTAGAGCTTTCCCCTCGTCGTTTCCCCTGCCTCCACGTCCTGTCACAGCGCTGCTGGCGTCTCCCCGTCGAGACAGCTCAAAGCGAAACCACGGTCATCTCAGGGCTAGCTCGACATAGCAGGCCAAGCTTGCTACTGAGCTCTCTCCGTTGTAGCGTTAGATCGCTGCAGCAGTTTCTAATGTCTGTTAAAAACTTGTGACTGTATTGCATTGAAGAATTTACTTCCTGTTGCACCGTGTTTACTTTGCCAGTGTATGCAGAGGCTGCCGTCATGTTGATTCAAACTTAGAGGCAAACTAAAAATACCTGTCCAGCAGAAACTCTGCGACCATCTTGTCCGTTATTAGCTCAGGATGAAGCTGCATCAGTCTTCACCATTGCTCAAAAGCAGAGCCGATGTTGACCCGAGTTTTGGTTCTTGCAGCATCAAGTTCTCTCTTAGTGTTAGCTTTTTCTGCAATATTCTTTATTTTGCCAACTGATGTCCCTGTTGGAGCGGCTGGAGGTGGAAGCGGTGGTCCGCATTTGTCTGCCATTGTTACGGAGAAAAGTTTATATCCACAAGCATCCGGATTACTAGTTTATACCCACAAGCATCCCTGTTACTAGTTTATATCCACAAGCGTCCCTGTTACTAGCCTATTTGCTGTCTCACAGTCTCAGGGACAGGGGTGGGGGGGATGTTACGCGAGCAGTTACGTCAGTCAGAGGCTTCCACGTGGGGAAGACAGACCAGGAGAAAACTCTGACCAATCATTGCATAGAACCATATGAGAATGGTATAATTATGAGTTTTTATCTCTGGTGGAATTCACCTACATTTCAGTGTGCCATCACCTTATTATTAGCATTTTAACCTAAACAAAGGTCTAAAATTTCAAGAAAGGTAAGTGTTGCTTTAAGTAAAAAATCTGAGTAATCTACTTCTGCCACTACTGTAGTTTATTATAATACTACATGGATTTTCTTTTACAGCTTGTGCACAGAGTTTTCCCCTATAATACGATAAATAAGTCGTTTACCATTTTAGTTTTTTCTGGATCCACACCATAATGTTATGCAACCTGACTTCTGACAGACAACATTGGTTCATTTGATGTGTTTTTGCCACAATGGAAAGAGTACAGCATTTCCGTGCCTGACTGGCTGCTTCGCAGGCATTTGACACAGCAAGACGAGTTCAGGACACTCCCAAAGAACAGTTCTTTTACTGTGAGCCATTATGCAGGAATGATTTTTTTTATTTGCTACGGCCTGCGGACCATTTAGCGGACCTGACTACAGGGAAAACTTACTATATTTCCGACAGCCAGTCCGGGCCTGCTAACAACGTTATCAATTTAAAGTACGTTATCACCTAACAGTTTAGAATGTTTTTAGCCTACCTTTACCTACCTTTAGGGATAACATTCTGGGAACTAAAAGAAAACTTCCAGCTGAAAACATTACTAGAACATTACTTTGTGTCAGAATGTTTTTTGAACCAAAAATTTCTAACTGGGAAGTAAGAATCATGTATATGTTAGCTTGTGAAGAATTGTGGCCTGCTAGCCAACTAATACATTGCAATAACTTAGCTACACTCAGATAAACTTAGCTGCGCCACACTGACCTGACATAGGTTGCTTCCTACCGTTAGCTGATAAAGTAATTTGCAAACCAGTCCTGGGAGTCTGAATGAATGAACTGAAGTTATCCACACTGTACTTTGCTGCATTAGCAAACTAACATTAGCTAACATTAGCAGGGCAATAACACAGAATCATCATACCTTTGACACTCTAATGCACACTCTGTCAGCAATTCTGTGATCCTCTGGTCTCCACGCGCCTTTGCCAAATCATGATGATGATGATGAGGATAACGATGAAGATGATGGCAAATCAAACTGTGTGGAACAGTTACATTATACATATTTTTTTAAAAAATAGTATATTTTAATATTTCAATTGTAATTTTTTTTTCTTCTGTTCTTTATTTATGTTTCTTATCTATGCACCAAAATACCAGGGCAAATTCCTTGTATGTTTAAAAACCTACTTGTCAGTCAACTGGATTCTTATGTTAAATCTAAATCTGAAAAAGAAAAAAAAAAAGAAATTAATCTAAATTCAGTTAAAATACATAATTGAAAATACAGATAGTCAACAGGAATGAAACAAAATCAAATGATTAACAACTGAAAAAAACTGAGTTAGAAGTTAAAAAGTTACAAAAGAGCAAAATGAACAAAATTGAATAAAATACTGATATATAAAATAACATTATTACAGAAATAACAATAAAATAATGTATGGCAAAACGTATGGCTGAAGAAATAAACACAATGAAACACATAAACAGACAAAAGAATTAAAAAAGATAGAATAAAACAATAAACATTTCAATACAAATACTACATACATAAAAGATATAACTTAATATATTAAAACTGAATGCATACATAAAAAGCAGTAGCTACATTACATGTAAGAATGCAAGAAGTTATATTTTTAAAATAATCCCACAATAACCTAAAATAAAAAAGTTTAAAAATATAAATTACATGTTTGTTTTTCAGTTAGCTGTTAATTATTTGAAATTTAAATTTTTTATTTATTTCCCCACATGAAGCTCTTCATGCTCTGACAAAGCACTTCCACACTAGTAGGAGCACTGAAGCATTTATAGACCAAATCACTGAATCACTGTGACGTCGCGCTAACAAAAACTGCCATTTACTGACACACAGCTGGTAGATGATTAAAATTGTGGAGATGCATAAAAATCGACAAACTTGTTGATTTCTGTTGTCATTTTCAGCCATACATTTACATTTAAATATTTTTAGTTAAACATGGTGGTCCAACCCATCTGACTTTATTGCTTTGTTATCATCTTTGATAAACATGATTTACCAGCATGGAAGCAATGTACTGCTGTGAATGGGACTGCAGGAAAACGTATTTTAGCCACCTATAAAGTCGATATCAGTGTTAAGTGTAAGTTATATTTGAATATTTTCTATATATATTCAGATATAGTAATAACAGTATCACCATATGAACAAGTATAAAACAACATTTTGACTGTATGTTACAATTGACACAGAAAGCTGGTGGTGTGGTTTTTCATCTATAGGTGGTTCTATTGTGAAAATGACACTTTAATGCTCTTTTTTCTATATAAATCGCTATAAATCTACCAGCAGCAATCATACAATTTTCTCCTGAAAATTCACATTTTGGTTTATAATGTTGTTGGCATTTAAGTATCAATATTAAATCAACAAACTGAGCCTAGAAATACTGGAATCAACTAAGAATAACCATAATGTCTAAGATTTGAACCCCCCCCCCCCCCCATGTACTAAAACCCCCAAATTCACACACAAAAATAAAATAAAATACAGAAGTAATACCTAGATGAATCAGGCAAAATGTCAGATGGTAATCTGAGTTTTCAGATCCACAATGGATATGCAAGATGCTCATTAAGGGTATGATTTTCATTTTGTCCAGAAACAGAAAATGCAAGCTGTTATTGAGAAGAGAGGGAGAGAATGAGACAGAAGGAGATATATGAGGAAGAGATGATGGTTTTCTCACAGGTTGCTGTCGTCCTGCTGGGCGGATCGGCCATCTAAACACACAAATCAGTTGTTTTTATCCACACACACTGCAAACATCTCACTGCAAAGCACCATCATCTTCTTAATTTACAGTCACCACATGTATAATCGCTTTCTGGAAAAAAAATCAGGCTACTTAGAAATTCCATCAAGTTGTATACATGTAAACTACATGTGTTTTAGGACAGTTTTTATGGACATATGTCTATATATGAATGGATGGATGAGATTGTGAGTATTGACAAGACATTTAGAGTCTCAGTGATGGAAAAAAAAATATTTTGATGAACTTTTAATTGATTTCAAATAAATCCCTTAAGAAGAGATTATGTGGTAGCTGACCCTGATGTGTGGAAAATATTCCATTTATCCATAACAACCTATGCTACACTTGGGTCAAGGCGATTTTCCTTCTGACATTCTACATGTGGTTCTTTAAAACCTGATGAAACTATATAAAGCTACTACATTCAATGCATGAATAATTGTTTTGTGTATAAATCAAGGACAGTGAAAGGTGAGTGCTTGCTGGTGGAGGTTCAGTCAGTGTGTTTTACTTCTCACCAGTGACAGTAAGCAGGAGGAGTACAGCTGCCAGGGATTAAAGACAAACAAAGAGTTTGGTTAAGACCTTTAGGTACATTGGATTTTCTGTTTGTGCAGGTTTGTTCTTTAACAGGCAGATAATAAACCTCAGGTAGCTGATCAGCTGTACTATTTGCAATCTACATAAATACGGCTACTACTAGTACTACTACAACTACAACTACTACTACTACCACTACTAATGATAATAATAATAACTTTATTTGTATAGCACAGTTCATAGAGCAAGTGCTCAAAGTGCTTGACATAATAAAATGAGAAACAAATATTAAAAAATATGAATTAGGTTTGATACCATTTACATAAATAAAAGGTACATTAATGCGAGTCTGAAAAAATTGGTTTTAAGATTTTGTTTGAAGCTGTCTACTAAATCAGAAAGTCTGTCATCCCCTGGAAGGTTATTCCAGAGATGAGGGCCAATGACACAGAATGTAGCATCACAGTACTTCTTAGTTCTATGCTGGGGGACATTTAAAGGGAAATTTCGGTTTATTTCAACCTGTCTCCTATCGTCCTAAATTTGTTTCAAGTGACTAGTGACGAAAAATAACAGTTAGCATGTTAGCCGTTAGCCTAGATAGCATAGCATGCAAGCAGCAACAGCTGGAAGGATACACTGACGAAGAGCTTCGTGAAATTGAAGAACGGAGGAGGAGAGAGAGAGAGGCGCAACAGGTAGAGGACGAATGGCTGCTGCAAGGCTGAGTAACTCTGGAGATTGGTGGTGTACCTGTGAGTGCCCCAGTGCCCACAGAAGAGGAATGCCTCTGTTGCAAGGAATGGGACCGGTTGCAGCCTTATTTTCAAGGTCTGGATGTGACCGAGGATGAGACACCTCCACCTGGAGTAACATTAGTATCCAGCTGGGCTTTATCTAGAGCTGGCGAGACATATTTCAGCCACGCTTTGGAAAGCAGAGCGAGAGGGATAAACAAACATGGCAGCACACCGGTAAGGTAAGACAACACATTTACATGTCGTTTTCTATATGTTCTCTGACATTTATCCTAACGATATGAGGCGGTCTTTGTGGAAAAAAGCTTGCTTAGTGGACTAACTTTGTACTTGAAGGGATGCCCTTTCACTTACGTTTTAACAGGTCTGACGCTACTAATGCGCCCCGGCTGTATCTAGGCTAACAGCTAACATGCTAACTATTATTTTTCATCACTAGTCACTTGAAACAAATTTAGGACGACAGGAGACAGGTTGAAATAAACCGAAATTTCCCTTTAATACACCAGAGGAAGAGGATCTTAGGGATCTAGATGGAATGTATCTGACCGACATGTCAGCTAAATAGGTAGGAGCCAGTCCATTAAGATATTTAAAAACTAAAAGCAGAGTTCTAAAATTAATTCTAAAATGAACGGAAGGCCAATGAAGAACCTTCAAAACCCGACTAATGTGTTCTCGATGTTTAGTCTTGGTAAGTAGACATGCTGCTGCATTTTGGATCATCTGAAGTTTATTCAAAGATTTCTCTGAGAGGTCTGAGAACAAGGCATTATGGTAGTCAAGACTGCTTGAGATAAAAGCATAAACAAGTTATTCAGTGTCTTCTTTAGGTAAAAGTGGTTGCACACATGGTCAATGTTTCTAAGATGGAAAAATTGATTTTTGGTACTGTTTCTCACTTGAGATTCAAAACACAGGTCATAGTCAAAGATAACAACCAAGGTTCTTTACTAAACAGCATTATCTCTCAGGAATAGGCTTATTATATCCATTTCTATGCAGACAGCACTGCCTTTAAAGCTACAGAATGTCAAGCTTGTACTGAATGCTGCCAAGACAAAGCGTGTTGTTTTTTTCTGAAGGACCCATGAATCCAGTTGACATCTTTCTGCTATCAAGACACTTCATGGTCCTGAAACAGATCAGGATCAGTCAGATCATATTAACAACTGTTGATCTGTCACAGCAGTGTGACTTTTAAACAGCAAGAGGAGCAACTGGCTGAGAAACTACAGATACAAACTGGTTTCTTCTTTCAGAATTAAGCTTGTGTATTGAGGAGAATGATTATACAGTCGACTATTATGTCTGTCTGTGGAAGTATCTGGAAGGTTTTGTGAGTATAATTTAAGAACTCTTTTTTAAGGAATTTAACTTTCCAATTACATCTCCTCCTGAGTCCCTGAATCCTTTTAATTGTAAATTCTTCTCTTTTTTGCTGAAAACAGTAAAAACTTTCAATTGTGATATTCAGACTAAAAAAGGACCAAAATTTGTCTCCAAACCCCAAAAGAACTACTAGCAACCTTGTTGGCTCTTCAGTAATACTGAACACAATGGTGAACAAAATGTCAGCGGAAAGTAAGAGCTGCACTGTGTGATTGCGGCATTACAGACATTGTTGGATGCAACCAGTTCTAGAAAGCCTCATTTATCAGCATGCCTGATGACGTAGGGGAGAGTTGCCTTAAATGTAAGGCATTATATTTGTAGCAAGGAATGCCCAGACTTGTACATTGGTGAAACAAAACAACCACTAAACAAACGCATGGTCCAACACAGAATGGCTAACTCGTCAGGGCAAGACTCAGCTGTCTATTTACACCTCAAGGAGAAAGTACACTCCTTTTAAGACAGCAATGTGCACATTTTGTACAGGGAAGACAGATGGTTTTAAAGATGTGTAAAAGAAGCCATCTATGTGAAATTGGAAAAACCATCTCTCAATAGAGGAGGAGGTCTGCGACACCACCTATCCCCCACCTATAATAGTGTCCTTTCATCCTTGTCCAGGAGATTTAACAGCTTTACCTCTAAAAACAATGGTCGTTCACAAATGGCCTCATGTGACTCTAACGACTCCAATGACCACCATTGCAGCAGGAGTTTCAACGACCGTCGTTGACACACCATTGGAGCATGAACAAACCAATGACATCATTGGCCTTGTGAAGACCTCCTCAGAGGTTAAATACCTGGGTTTTTCCACACCAGTTCAGACTAGTTCCAGCCTAGTCAGACAAGCATGAACTGATGAAGCCTCTTGGATAAGAGGTGAAACATCTTCTAAGACAAAACTAAGACCAGTTGCATTCGATTCAATTGCCTTGAGATAAATGTCATCATGACATCATCATGCCAACCAGACCAGTACAGAAGTAAACATCTCTGAGAAATATAAACAGGATTGGTCCACTCCACAGGGAGCAGAAGCTGGAAAACCAGTTTAGCACAAACTAAGTAAAAATGAAGATCCAGGGGTATTTTTCAAAATTAAATTTGTGTTTAAATGTTGTGGAACTAAAGTGCACAAGGCTGTCTGGATGTATCTGTGCTTCATCTTTTATCACATGTGATGCATGCTGGCTGTGGGCTGTAAGGAATGCTATAGCACCGAAGCATCCAGCAGCTCATTTGTAACACATGTTACATTTGTAACTGCCTACAGCCAGCACAGCTTGACTACTTTACTTGTGTGTGTGTATGTGTCTGTGTGTATATATATATATATACATATATATATATTGTCTTCATATAAACATCTGCTTTTTATCAATAAAACGTGCACATATAAATGGACTGTGTGGGTTTACCATACACTGTAAAGCTAGTGGTTTGGGGTCTTGCTACAGTGACCCTCCAGGGATCAGTGCGCATTTACACACAGGCCTCCCCAAACTGCACTCTGTGTTCAGTCAGATACCATTCATTATATTTCGGATCAGATAAGGTTTTATAGTACTTTACTTCCATTAATCAAATTTGCTAACTTTGTAGGTGTAATCTATGTATTTGCCAATGAGAAAGGATACCAGTGTGCCAGCTGCTGCATCTGCTAAGTTTTAATACAATCATTAAGTTTAATCCATTATCTGATCACATACATGGTATGAAAGCAACATAAAAACAGTTGACTGACTGAAATTTTGTTGATTTGCCATGAAACCTGTTTAATGAAGTTTTTTTAAGCCATGTTACAACCGTAACTGGCATTGTTACAATTAAGACTCACATCTGCTTCATCTGTAACATGGGACAGTGTGCACTTTTGGTTTAATCCCTCATGATTTGTTTTTACTATGAAAAAACTTAAAGTGTTTTTTGATAGTAGACACATGCAGATTGTCTGAAAACTTCACACATGTAGGTAAAAAAAATATCTCCCCCCACACTAAAAGAAGAAGAAAAAGAAGGGACTCACCGACTGTCAGGAAAATCTTTGGATTTATCATGTCTGCAGTGAGGTGTTACTTCACCTCATCCCACCTCACCTAACACCTGTGTAACACCTATATATACTGTGCTCTCTGCCCCAGAGCTGTTTTTTTGTTGTTTTTTTTATTTTTTTTTGCTTTGTCTTTCAGGGTCTTGACATGTCTTTTCTGTGTTGTATGTTTACTAAATCCTGGAAGCTGTTTGTTCACCATTTCCTTCACAAACTCCTCCCTCAGGTGATTAACACACTGATGACAAATCAGCACAAATATGACCAATTTTCACACTCATTCTTATTTTTATATGGATTTTCTCATTATCTTTGTGCTGAGTGATAAATGACTATCAAAACAAAGGAATACTTCGCAAATCTATTTCCAAACAGGTGTGTAGGACAGGGTCGGGCAAAACACAACTTGTAGAAAAACTCCTGTACACTGTCTAACTTTAAAAAGTAATGATTTTAATGCTGCAACATTTTGGTAACTAGACCTTCATCATGCAGTTTGGTAGTAAAGAGAAGCCCTCTTAAGTAGGAGTGGCTGTGAGTTTGCAATCAGTCACATTCCCTGCATGCAGTGGAAAGGCACAAATACTAAGACTTCATTAAAATCTTTTTACCTGCTGACGGACATATCTGTGTGCGATCCTCAAACTGTTTTTGTTCTTGCCCAAGGCACAAATACCAAACATCAACTTGTGTGACAATCTATAATATTATATACACAGCGATAAAGAAATAAAGAAGTGAAAATTAAAAATTGCATTGTGACAATCTTAAACATAATAATATTTACATTAGATAGATAAATTCTTGACAACAAATGCTTAAGTTCTTTTTGTTAAATTGCTTTCTAAAAAAACATATACATTTCCAAATCTTGCAGGTTACATTAGAAAATGAACCTGTTGGGATATGTTTACATGGAAAACAGGGGCGATTCTAGGATCAGAGGTTTAGGGGTGCTGAGCACCCAGAGAGCTGCCCAGCCAGGCAAGATAAATTTCACTGTTTTGTACATTTTAACGCAATTTCATTCCCACGTTTGTGAAAGAAAAGCACAACACTTTTTGTGAAAGTCTGTGACTAAACCATCAAATCTGACAAAGGTTATTTAAATGCTGAGCCACAGCATTGTGGCTGGATTGGAATCATAAAATAAACATATTGTAACCCTAATTTCTGGGGGAAGACAACTCATTTTGATACAACAGCTCCTCAACATACACATAAACAGTATTTATGTTTCTGGAGTAAACTAGCCCCCTATAGTGAGTACCAAAAATACTAATAAGAATACTAATAAATAAAGTCCTCTCTCTGCTCCTCTCTCTCTCTTTGTACTGTCAACCAAAAGACAAATAACCAAACAATGCGTTCCATGATGAGGCTGTCTGTCTGTACACACACACACACACACACACACACACACACACAGTAGGAGTTATAATGTTAATGGGCATTCAGTCAGTTAGCTAGTCAGTAGCACCTTGGCTTTAATATTAACACATGCACATGACACAACTGCTAGCTTCTCTCATTCCAATTCAAACAGAGGACAGTGTTACCTGTAACGTTTCCTAGCTAGAAAAAACGTCAGCTAACTCCTACCTAACAACATAAACAGTGACCTACGATTAAATGTAGCAAAAATGAGGACTGGTAATTATAATAATGTGTTGGTATTGAGTGGTAGTAGTTAGGAAATGTGCCACATATCCTGGTTTCAGCCAGGTACTTACACTACTACTACTGCATATCACCCACTCTGGAAGGCAGCGCATTGCTCGGAGCCCGGGTCAGGGAACGGTGGGAGGGATGGGGTGGATCAAACCATTTTTGAGGCAAGGTGGGGGGGGGTGCTGTATTTTTGTTGTTAAAATATTATGTTTCAACCAAGTACTGTATGGTTTTGACACTTTTCTAGCTTGTTAAAAAAGGACATACAGTAAAAAAAATAATATGTATATTACATTATGTGTGTACAGACACAAACTCCATTAAAACTTTCTATAGCTGTTAATAAAGCCTCCTGACAGGTTATCCAGCTGTAATCTGCTGCTGCCGTCATTAGAAATGGATGTCGCTTCACGTGACGCTTCAGAGGAAAGGACATCTCATTTCTCTTAAGTCATATTTCCTCGTTTCTTTTCTCCTCGCGTCTCATCCTTGCATCTCATCCCTGTGTCCTACGAGGGCGGAGCTAAGACACAAGTGAGGGAAACGTGGATGCGAAATTTGGTTTTGGGATGAACCCATGGTGGTGACTGTAGTGTGTATGGCCCCCACACCTGGGCATGCTCCTGATGTGTCAGCAGATGGTATCCTGGGGAATCTCCTCCACAGACCTGTATCAGGGCATCAGTGAGCTCCTGGACAGTCTGTGGTGGTACTTGGCGGCGTTGGATGCAGCGATACACAATGTCCCATGGGGGCTCAATTGGATTTTGGTCATGGGAACCAGAGAGCCAGTCAATGGCATCAATGCCTTCATAATCCAGGAACTGCCTATAAAGTCTGGCCACATGAGGCCGGGCATCGTTGTGCACCAAGAGTAACTCTGGTCCCACTGCACCAGCATAAGGTCTGATAATTAAGATAAGATAAGATAAACTTTATTGTCCAAAGCGGGAAATTTGTTTTGGGCACATAGTGTGACATAGCTGCACAGCAGTTAAATTGCTCTAAGGATTTCATCCCAGTACCTAACAGAGTCAGGGTACCATTAGCTATGACTTGGAGATCTGTGCGACCCTCCAAGGATATGCCTTCCCTGACCATCACTGCCAAACTAGTCATGCTGGATGATGTTACAGGCAGCATAACATTGTCTTCAGACTTTCACTACTGTCACATGTGCTCAGTGTGGTCCTGTTCCCATCTGTGAAGAGAACGTGGGTGCCAGTGGTGGACCAGGCTGTTCTGGTCTCTGGCGTATGGTAATCGAGCTGCACAGTGTTGGGCTGTGAGTACAGCTCCCCCTCAATAACGTTGGGCCTGGATGCCACCCTCATGGAGTCTGTTTCTGACAGTTTGGTAAGAAACATGCACACCATGCTTTTGATACCTCAAGGCTGGATTACTGTAACTCTCTATTATCAGGTAGCTCTAGTAAGTCCTTAAAAACTCTCCAGCTAATTCAGAATGCAGCAGCACGTGTACTAACAGGAACTAAGAAACGAGATCATATTTCTCCTGTTTTAGCTTCTCTGCACTGGCTCCCTGTAGCTCCCTCCAGAATTGAATTTAAAATCCTACTGTTAACTTATAAAGCTCTAAATGGTCAGGCTCTGTCATATCTTAGAGAGCTCATAGTGCCTTATTATCCCACCAGAACACTGCGCTCTGAGAACGCAGGGTTGCTCGTGGTCCCTTAAGTCTCCAAAAGTAGATCAGGAGCCAGAGCCTTCAGCTATCAGGCTCCTCTCCTGTGGAATCATCCTCCTGTTACAGTCCGGGAGGCAGACACCATCTCCACATTTAAGAATAGACTTAAGACTTTCCTCTTTGATAAAGCTCATAGTTAGGGCTGGCTCAGGCTTGCCTTGTACCAGCCCCTAGTTAGGCTGACTTAGGCCTAGTCTGCCGGAGGACCCCCTATAATACACCGGGCACCTTCTCTCCTTCTCTCTCTCTCTCTCTCCCTCTCCCTCTCTCTCTCTCTCTCTCTCTCTCTCTCATATCCTATTACTGCATCTTGCTAACTCAGCCATTCTGGATGTCACTAACTCGGCATCTTCTCTGGAGCCTTTGTGCTCCACTGTCTCTCAGGTTAACTCATATTGCAGCGGTGCCTGGATAGTGTGACGTGTGTGGTTGTGCTGCTGCCGTGGTCCTGCCAGATGCCTCCTGCTGCTGCTGTC